AGAGCCAACTCTAATTTCCTGGCTTCCACAGCATCCCCTAAGATGACCTTGTAAATGTAAAGGGTCTTCTAGGTCTCAGCAGTGTTTCCCAAAAACCACACCACCATCCATCCTTTCTTCCATTCACCTATCCATCTGTCCATCTATCCACCCACCCATCCATCCATATATCCATCTGTTCATCTATCTATCCGTCAATCCATTCATCCATCTGTCCATCTATCAGTCCATCCATTTATCCATCCATTCATCCGCCCATGTATCCATCCATTCATCCATCCATCAGTCCATTCATTCATCTGTCCATCTGTCCATCCATCCATCCATCATTTCATCTATTCGTCTATCAATCCATTCATCCATCTGTCCATTCATCCATCCATGCTTCCATTCATCTATCCATCTATCCATTCATCCATTTGTCCATCCATCCATCCATTCATCTATATATCTATCTATCCATTCATCCATCTGTCCATCCATCCATCCATCCATTAATCTATCCATCTATTCTTCCATCATTCATCCATCTGTCCATCCATCCATCTGCCCATCCATCCACCCATCCATTTTTCCATCCATCTATCAATCCTTTCATCCATCTGTCCATCCATCCATTCATTCATCCATCTATCAATCCATTCATACATTTGTCCATCCATCCATCCATCCATCCATCCATCCATCCATCTATCTATCAATCCATTCATCCATCTGTCCATCCATCTATCCATCTACCCATCCACCCATCCATCCATCCATCCATCAATCCATTCATCCAATGCCCACCATGTATCTCCTGTGCCAGATCTGAGTTTGGTTCCAGGGATCTAGTGATCAATAAGATAAACCTGGCAGGTCTCCATGCTCACATCCTCAACCAGCCTATGTTCTAGGGGTGGTGGTGGGGGGGAACCATAAACAGGAACTCCCACACTTCAATGAGAGAGGTTGTGAAGAATGCCTGGGGGCCTCTTTGCACTGAGTAGTGAGGGAAGCTTCTTTGAAGAAAAGAGGTTTATGGGGAGACTGAATAGGGGACAGGATCCAGTACCTGGGGTTGGTGCCATGTGCACTCCAGGCAGCAGCCATAGCATGCACAGGCCCTTACAAGGACTGAGCTCGGTGTAGTCCAGGGTCAGCCAAGAGGCTACTGTCACTGGACACTGAACAGTAAGAGGTGGAGTGGGAGGAGCTGAGACTGGGGATGGGGTAGGAGTCAGGGGTGGGGTCTTTGCAGGGGGTATGGCTTGTATGTTATTTCAAGTGCCCTGGAAGGATTTTAAACCTCAGTCCTAACCAGCCCAACCTCTAGCTACTTGAAGTACGGTCCCCAGACCAGCAGCATGGGCAGCACTCGGGAGCTTGTTAGAAATTCAAAGTCTTGGGCCACCCGGGAAACCAGTGGAGTCTGACTATGTGCTCCTTGCAGGAAGATCCCAGGAGCCCTGAGTGCCTCTGGAACCTGAGAAGTACTGCACTAGATCTGCTGTTCCCGTGCTCCTCCCCTGGGAAACCTCTGGGAGGACCTACCCTGAACCCACACCTTCCCTGGCTGGCCCAAGCTGCAGCGCTTTTTAAGGGCTTTTCTAAGTGACTTCTTTGTGCCTCTGCTAAGACCCCACAGTCTACACATTGGTCTTTGCTCAACCCTCTGTGGCTTCTGTGGCTTGTGTGAGCGAGACTACGTGGAGGAGCATGCACTGCACACTTCAAACCTGATGCCAACCAGGGGCTTTCCAGGGAAGAATGGTGCTCCCCTCCTCACCTCCAGCCTTTTGCACCGATTCAAGGGGGCCCGGGATTGAGCAGAAGACCCCCATCACCACCACAAGAAGAAAGGGGCAGAGCACTGGACCATCATGGAAACCAGGAGGGGGTGCCGCTGACGAGGGGCCGGTTAAATGCAGGACAATTAAAAACACATTCAGCTTAGATTTCAGAGAGCCGCTTCCAGAATGAAAACACCGTACCTGTCATTAACAGTGTATCTATTCCAATTACACAGAAGGATTCTTAGGAGACGCAGTGCACATTCATTAATTGTGTCTTTAATAGCCCTATTTAATATGTGCTCTCCAGACGAGGGCACCGCCAGCCTTCCATCCACAGAGGCCTGAAACACAGACACAGGGCGGGGGCAGGAGGAGGCCAATGGCAGGCTCTCAACTCTCAACACCAACTTCCTGCATGAGTCCCAAAACAGAGGGTGAGGACAGGAGCAGGTAATGTGCAAAGGAGAAAATGCGAGTAGTAATTAACACAGAAAACTGCTCCTCCTCATTAGGAAACAAAAAAAAAAAATGCAAATTAAAGCAATGATGCCGTCCGCTTCCTGCCCTCGGCTCCTCCTGTCAAACGAGCAGGAGTTAGAAAAGTCGCTGGCAGGATGCAGGGCACTGCCTGGGTGGGAATGCATGTTCATCTTGAGGAAGAATTGAATGCCACCGCACAGCAGCTGTAAATCCACTCACACTCCCTAGTTCAGTCATGTAACTGATTCATCCCAGGGAACAAAATGAAAAGGAAAACTACCTGCTTAAATTTTTTATGGCAGCATCAATAAGGGGACAGCTAAGTATTAGAGTGAACCAACTCCAGGGGCTCATACCGGCCATAAAAGAAATGACGACGCAGACCCTGTCACTACATGGAAAAACGAGAAACATATTTTATAAATGATAAAAAAAAGCCTGCATTCTGTGTCTCTACCTATATAAATATGTTAGCATCAGAAAAGATAATACAAACAAAGAAAGGAACGGCTCCGATGGGTAGGGATGTGGATGAACTTTGGTGAGATGACTAATGTCTCTGCATGCAGTTTTAATAACGGCAAAGAAACATCTGGTGATGAGAGACGGTGATGAGAAGGGAACACGGAAAATTAAAATCTGTCAACTTGCTTCGGAGAAAAACTGAATTCAGATCATGTACTGTTCTAGGGACATTTCACACATTTCCTCATTCGGTTCTCACAACTTCCCCTCGGGGCATCTTATCCCCATTTAACAGATATGGACGGAGGTTCTCTGGAGGAGAAGGAAGCCCCCATTACCCGGCCTTTGGAGCAGCTGTGAGTGGGTGGTTTGGCCTCTCGGCTGCCACCTGCTTCTAAGGAATCCTGTCTGGAGCCTGTAAGTGAGGGGTCTTGGGTCCCATGCCAGACACAGTCAGTCCCACCCCACCTCCACCGCACAAGGACTCCAGCAAACGTGAACGAAGCCAGCAACTCTGTCGTGTAAGTGCAGATCACACCGGGAAAGATCGCTCCCTGTTCAGACGACGCTTCAGACAGTCTCACTGCCTCCACGTCCAGCCACACTGAGAGGCTGCAGTGAGGGGAGGGAAGCAGGTGCTCTGGAAACTTCTGAGGTGAGTAGCCCCAGGCAGATCCCTCCATGCCAAGGAGGGCTGCGGCCCAGTGCTTGACAGCCGTACTGGAGTTGGGATGAATCAGGTAACGGAGGGCCTTTGCTGGAAGGAGGAGAAGACTTGACCATCTCCATCTGCTTTGTCACTGAGGAACCCGCCCTGAGACCCCCTGCCCAGCAGCGAGGGCACCCTCCCTCGGCCTTCCCTGTCCAGGAGTGTTGGCCCCAAAACGGGCCTTGGAACTTACATTTTCAAAGAGCAGCAATGAGATTTCACAGGGCCCACAGAGCTTACAGTTTTCTGCTCTTGTCTGGAAGCAGTGAACGCCGCCTTGCCCAGCACTGGAGGAATGAGACATTTTCAAAGCAACCCACCAGTACATAAAGCAACGGGAGGCCGTGGCAGGGAATATCTGTCCCCTACACAGGGACGCCGCCCATCACTCGCCCTCCGCTTTCTGGTGGTGACGATGGAATTAGAGGAGACCAGTGGGTCTGGGAGGTGAAGCCACACTCAGAGGAGCTTCTAGGAAATGTGTTTCTGCTGGGGAGCAGGTGAGGACCACTCAGGGGACTGTGAGGGTCTTAACCCCTGAGCTTGGCTTCATTAGCAGCACAGATGACCAGGCCCGTGGGCTCCAGGTGATGTCATTCCTTCTACAGCAAAGCAAGAACCCAACTCGAGACACTGTTTCAATAACTTCCCAGCGCATCGCAGAAATCCCTCAGTAAGAACCCACAGAATGAATCACCAAACCCCTTAGCTAAAAGCAAAGCCAAAATGGAAAATAAACCAACTCAAGGTCCTGATCAGCAGGGACAGGCATCTTTTTATGGATTTCAAATAGAAAAATGAATTAATTATTACTTGAGAAACATATGTTGGAAAGCAAAATGGTTTCACACCCAGAGAACATGGAGATGGTAATCGGTGCATGGAAGAAAGAGAATCTTTTGTGGGAGAAAAGCTTTGAAACCACAGGCCAGAGGCTGGGAACCATCTGTACCCTTCCTGGGTGAGTGGATGTAAATATTGAAGAGGATGATAACCAAAATGGGTTCTCAAAACCTCCTTCTTCCTCATCTCATTTAAAACATCAAAGGGGCAACCTAATGTTCCTGGGCTGGATTCACATTTCACACATGAAGAGATATCCCCCATCGCCAGCAGCTTATTTATTTACCAAGCTCTTTGGCTAAGCCTGGAAGAAAGAAAAGTGTCCAAACAATGAGCATAATCAGAGACTTTGGTGGACTCCAGGAGCTGCGTGTGAAGTTCTGAGCACAAGCGAAGGGAAATTGTGCACTGACCTGAATTCACAATGCAAACCCTCCTCCTCCGGGGAGGAAAGAAAGGAAGCGGGGAGAAAAACAGAAAGAAAAGAGAAGAAAGCCAAGATGCTTTCTGAACAGTTGTCTATTCCGCAGTGCAATTTATACCCACTGCCCAAACTGGGAAGCTACTTTCAACTTTTCCCTTATGCATTTTCTAGCCAAAGAAAAGTTGCGCGGCCACCGACACAGGGGCTACGACAGCAAGGCGTTTGGATCTCAATCCTCAGCAGAGAGCCTGGGAAGACGGCGCGCAGGTGCATAAGAGAAAGGCCTGCCATCGGGCTGACTTACCGCCACAGCGAACTTTCCAGAACCTTCCCCATGTCTGCGTGGTAGTACTTCGTCAGGATCAGGATCACCTGTGGTGTTAACAGAAAGTAAAAGGCAGAAATCAGTGGGTTCCAAGGTTCTCAAAGAGAGGTACAGCGACACCACTCCCTGCCAGAATTTGGGGTCTCTAAACATCAGCTGCCGAGGGGCCTCTCTCAGTCAGTATCCCCGGGAGGCTCTGGGCCAACCTGCATGAGAGCCCTTAGACGTGGGCTTATTTCCGCTCTGAGGACTTGCTTGTGCTCTGCAGAATGACTTTGGGAACATCTGAATCCAGTAAAATCCACACAGTAGCTGCCATTTGTTGGAAATAATTCAAATCCAGCCCTGGAAAATCCCAAGCTGTGGCAAAGGGAGTGCCAGGGCAGTGGTCCCTGAGTGAGGACGGAGCGCGTTTGGCAAGGCTTCTGGAGACGGGGCTCTGTCTCCACCAGCACATTAGAGGATCTCCCGAGCCTGCTGGAAACAGCTGCCAGGGCTGCAACCCAAGACCAGAGCAGGTCCCTGTGGTCCGTCTGTCGTTACTTGTCCTGGAGTGGTGCCTGCGGAGGCACAGCCAAGACGCTTGGGGGCCCAGGAGTCCTTGGTGGTACACACCTGTGTTTGTTGTTGAGACCATTCATTCATTCATCACACATTCATTCATTCATTCATCACACATTCATTCATTCATTCATTTATCACATACAGGGCCCTACCTGACCATGCTGTTCGCATTTCAGGCCTGTGCAGAAAATGCAACTATTTATAAAAATGAAAATAAAAATGTTTAGGAGCATCGAATTGTTTTTTGAAACAACTGCATAAACCAGAAAAGGGTAGGGGTGGGGAATAAGGATGCACCAGCTCTGACGGGAAAAAGATTTTCCCAATTACTGCACCGGCCACTGCGTTTTCACATACATCAAATTTCATTTCACTCACTGCCAGTCTCCATTAGCTGTTCCTAACACTCCCGTGGCCAGGGAAGCCCCCAGGAGGTAAGATGGGAACAGCCTTGGGTTTTGGAGAGGCTGTTCGCCTGGTTATTTGGGGTCACCACCCTGGTCATCCCCAATGGTCGGGCTCCTCCATTGAAGCAGAGCTCTCTGCGCTCGGCCCTAAGGTGCCGTTTCCACGGATGGCAGCTGGGCTGACCTGTCTTTCTTTCCCTGGTGATTGGAGCAGGGAAGACGCGAGGAGGGGCTGTTGCCCGAGATGGGACAGTGTGCATCTTCCAGGCAGCGATGATTTTAAAAAGCAAGGCCTTGTCAATCAGGGCCAGGCTGGCTACGCCATGCTCAGGAACAAAGCGATTTTCTCTTGTCAGCTCACAGCCTGCCGTCGGAGCCGGGTCCCTCCGAGGAGTGGGGAGCCGACGGGGTGTGGACTTGAACCCACTGATTCATATTTGATATAGTCACGCTGTTCCCAGGGGGGATTCTGTGCAGCCAGAGTGTGGCAGCTGGAAGGGACCTCAAAGTCTGTTTGATCCGGCCTCATCCAGGAGGAAATCCCTGCCCCAATCTGATCTTGGAGCAGTGAGATCCAGGCTCTGCCCTGGCCTCGAGGGGTGGAGCTCGGCTCTGGAGGGCACCCTGCCCTTCTGCAGACTGCAGGGTTTGGGGCGCACCCTGCTGTGAGGCTGGCTTCACGTCCCCGTCACTCCTGCCTGTACATTCCAGCTCTGCCGCTGTGGACAGTCGCCCAATCACCCAGCAAGACTACTTCCTCCTGCCCCTCCCTTAAGGGGAGAGTCCCCACCAGCCCACCCCCTCATTCTAAACCCCAGCATTTGGGGCCTTTGCACAAGGCGTTCCTCATCCTGGGATGCTCTTTCCCAAACCCCCCAGCCCTATTTCCTCAGTGAATTCCTGCTCAACCTTCAGATCTCAGCCTGACCCACACTGCCCCCAGGAAGGCCCCCCACACTGGGCTCAGTGCCCCCTCCATACACCCCCTCCAGCCCCGCTGGACTCCCTGCAACCCCACACAGCTCACAGGGTCTGCGTCCACTGCTGAGTGATAAACCGTTAAGGGTGGGGACCTTGTTTATCTCCCCAGTGCGGGGCACAGCACCTGCCGTATAACAAGCACTCACACCACTCGCTGAGAGAAATACAGGTGGCTTTACCCAAAGGAAGGATCATGTATGCAGTGAAGTTGGGCAGAGGCCAGTGCCCCACTCGCCACCACCATCACCACACTCCTTCCACCCTGTCCTGGGGACAGAATCGCTCTACTGGCTTCAACCGGCCCAGCCGAATGGGACTTTGGGTTCCTGTGGGGGTTGTCTTTGCCCGGGGCTGAAACAAGGAGGGCGCCCAGGAAGGGCCAGTGCTGGAGGAGCCAGACAGCAAGGCAGCCCCACCACGACCTGACTCTGCAGTCGTCAAGCAGAAGAACCCTGATGTGAGGTCCGACCACCCGGGTTCCATGCTTGGCTCTGCACTAGCAGACACTCAACCGAGACACGTCTCGGTTTTCCAGTCTACGATGATGCCATGGTGATGATTAAATATTCAGTAGCAAACGTGAAACGACCCATAAGCCATAGGAGCTGTCGCCGTTAAGAATAACGATAGCTAACAACCTCTGGTTTCCACGACGAGCCCCACAGTTACAGCACCCCCCCATGCCCCAGGGAGGCCGAAGATGTGCTGCCCCACCACGCCCCCAGGAGCCCCGTGTTATGATCTCTGTTTTACAGATGAAGAAACTAAAGCAGAGAGTGCTTCAGTATTTTGCCAAAAACTACACACTCAGCAAGTGGCAGAGTTAGAATTTGATCCCAAGCAATTCGATGTCAAGCTCGGGCTCTTCGCTGCCACGCTGAAAGCCTGTGTTTTCAGAAGAAACTTCTCTTGAAAGTGGTTTCGAAGAACCAAAACTTATGACAGGCCCTTCTGGGGCCCCCGGCTAACAGCTTTGGAAATGAAATATCCCAGGACAGTTTTTTCAGTTTTTTCAGTGGCTTTGGGGCTCTTTGATCTGGGTGGGAGAAAAATCGGGAATGTGAGTTAGGGCCACACAGCCCCTGCCGTTGCCAAGGGTCTCCTCCCATCCAGAGGCTGCCTGAGCCCGCAGCCCACAGGGATCTTTCCCAGACGGCCAGGAATGTCCAAGCAGAAGATGAGGAAAGAAGAGCTACTGCTGCCCGCAAGAGGTCAGCCGCTGCCGCCGCTCATTACTTCAAAGGCTCCTCAGGATGCACACATCACCCTGCGTCTCATCCTCTCGCCTCCCGTCCTCCCGGCTGTGGGGAAGGCAGTGCACGAATCTGTTCCTATTCTCCCAACATCATTTTACCAAATGGGCCAGGGTGCCAGGGTGCTGGGTTCCCAATCTGTGCCGGCTCAGCCTGTGACAGCATGGACTCATCCACTCTCTCGCAGCCCCCGTCCCCCGACTGGGAGGGGCTGATATTACTGTACTCACATTACGGCTGAGGAAACTGAGGCACAGAACGGCCGAGTGACCTGCCTGGCATCGCACACAGCAGAGCCAGGAGCTCTTGTGCCCAGGCCCAGGGCTTTTATGGGTCTCCACTTCATTGCTGCCCTCACGCCTCTGTGATGCCTGCCTCGTAAGCACGGGCCAAGGAGATGCCCAGGGTTCCTCTGAGGCACCACCACCCAGGTCCAGCCCAGCAGCCCTGGCAGAGACGTCAGCCTCTTTGGAATTCCCGAACCTACCTGCCCGCCCCTGAGGTTGCTAGGCAGTAAGCTCCATGACGGTGGGGACTCCCCCACCCCTAAACCCCCGTGGGCCTAGCTCTGAGCAGAAAAATCCATCAATCTTTCCTTGAGTAAATCAATGAGTGGCTGAGTCCAGGAGGACATGGATGAGCATCCGTACAGCAGCTGATGCACATAGGAGGCAGAACCCGTCCTTCAGGCCCAGTCCCAGCCAACCCCAAAGCCCCTGATGTCTGGGGACTCCCAGCAGAGTCCATCACCCGCTCCTCCTGACACCTAAGGGTAGGGAACACGCCCTGTCCTAGAGGCCCAGGGCTCCGTCATAGCGATGCCCATCCTAACCCTCAGGGGAGGGGCTCCAGAACCCTGGGAGACACAAGGCTTCATCTTCCTCAGCCCAGTGAGAGCCCACACGAGGAGATCCCCAGCGTGGAGTGTTCCAGATAGCCAGGGCCAGGTGACTGGCCTGCGACCTGCACAGCCACGAAGCCCCTGAGCTTGGTTTCATGCTCTGCTGTTGCCGTCTTGAAATTCTTGAGAATGTCTGAACGTGGGCCCTGCGTTTTCACTTTGCGCTGAGCCCTGCCAATAATGGAGCTGGTCCTGCAGCAGCTGCCACTCCGCTAGCATCTGCGAGTTTCAGAGCTTCTCCAGCCCCACTAAGGGTTAAGGACTGTGTGTCTGCAGAGCACCCTGATTTTATTCACCCGTTGTGCACCTACCTCCCTTGCAAGTGAGGGCGGATCTGGGTGAGGGGCTGGAAGGAGGTGTGTCAGATTCAACAACAGAGCTCACAGGAACTCAGGATGCCATCACCACTGCTTCACTTTAGAAACAGGGAAACTAAGGTTCAGAGAAAAGAAAGGGCACGGCGGGGACAGACCCTGGTCCTGGTAGGTCCACATCCACAGCCTGACCCCTGCATCCACTACCTCTGGCTTTATTCCAGGGAAGGGCCTGCTCCCTCCCTGAGAGGGACTGAGGGTACCCTTCCCCAGAAGGAAAAGAACCCTGAAGTCCACACTCAGTTCCTAGAGAGACCCTAGGCCGGCCATGGTGTCCCCGCCCTGATCACCATAGCCAGCCCCCACCTCCACCATACAACTCAATGCCAAGCCCTGTGCTGGGCTCACAGGAGGGTCCTCTGCTCTGCACTGAGCCGTCCAACTTGCCTGGAGATGAGGGGCCTGGGCTACGTCTCAAAGCTCTGGCAGTAGGAGGGAGCCGAGGCTAACCAGCCTCGGACCCACAATGGCATTAACCGGACTTTCTGCTGCTCTGGGGAACGGGGGTTGGCACAGAGGAAGTCTCAGCTTCAGGGCTGATGGGCCAGTAGCAAAGTCGTCAGCGTC